ATATATGCTTTAATCCTTTACTATGAAGTGAGTAGCAATTGTCCAGGTATAGCCAGTCCAGTGAGGTTTCTTGCACCTTTCTGTGTTATAGGAGGTGGAGTACTGGGCTGAAAAGGGATTTCCTATGTTGATTGAAAAAGAAATTAAAAAATCAAAGTGATGAGACAGCAAATTCCGTTCAGTGTGTAAGCCTCACTAGCTGTTGTTAACAGCTCCCCTAGTAGGAGGGAGATGTTGGGTGGTTTTGGACGTGGAGCTGAGCACAGAACGGGGCTTGGAGGAGCGAAAGGTGAAATGATTGGTGGGTCTGTGGTGTGTAGGGAGGGGTTTGAAGGGACAAAATTACAGTGGGAAGGATCACATGAAAGGTTAAGCAAAGCCTGGCAATTTTCTCTGTCCCCATTAACACACAAATTGTAAATATTTAGGTTATTAGGTTATATTAGGTTAGAGATAAGGAGGAAGTTCTTTCCTGAGAGGGTCGTCAGAAGCTGGACCAGGCTGCCCAGGGAGGTGGTGGAGTCACCATCCCTGGATGTGTTTAAAGAGCGGGTAGACGAGGTACTTAGGGATATGGTTTAGGGGGTAGACAGGAACGGTTGGATGTGATGATCTCAGAGGGCTTTTCCAACCGAGCGAGTCTGTGATTCTGTGAATATTTTGTAGGTTATGAGGTGTTCTTCACAGTTTACATTAAGGGAAAACCCCAAGCCCTCAGTATTCAGTACCGGACCATTCAGCGATGATGTCTGGCTTCAGTCTCAGCAGGCAGGTAGGGATTTTGGGATGGGCAGAAGCTGGTTCTGATCTTTGCACATGATGGAAACTGCAATTAAATAAATCATGGCGTGTGCATCCAGGTTCTCATCTCATTCACTTTCAGACATGCTAGAAAAACAGCTAGAAAATACTAGTTTGGATCAGTGCAACCTGGGTACGTGGCAGGACACAACGAACGGTGGTTTCCTGCTGTGCTCGGTGTTGCCATAATGCTTAGCCACAGGGGAAGAAGTGACCTTCTGGTTTATGAAGAAAACTGATCGCTAAAAAATAGCAATGGTCAGTGGTATTGCGGCGTTGGGAGCTTTGGGGATCAGCTGAATTAGTAGTTGCACTGGTATATAGGCCCTGTTTCTTCTTTAAGCGCGGTGACTGGGAACGCGCCGTTGTCGGCCGACGCTGGGTCGTAGCTGTGCCGTGGGGGGGAGGAGGTCCCGGCAGTGGTGGACTTTGCTCAGGACTTTGGCACAGTCGGGCTGTAAAGGGCACTCGAGCCTCTCTTGTGCTTCAGATGTTCACCTGCTTCACGTCGGCGCTGGGGAGAGCGGACATGTAAGTAGGGGGCTGGAAATCCCGTGAGGTTCAGAGCCTTCGGGGCTTGGCCCGGCTTGGTTTTCTGGGTTTGGAAGCAGGGGATTTGTGGGCGTGCTGGAATGTGTTTTCCTCATCCTGCCTGCTGCTCTCCTGGATACCCACACACCTCCCATGCCCGTCAGCAGCCCACAGGCTCCTGGCAAAGACGTGAGGTGGTGTCCCCATGGAGGCCTTCGCGAATCACCACCAGAATCAGGACGTAAAACCTGCGAGCCGTGTCCAGGCTAAGCTGAGATGGTTCATTAGGAGTGATGGCTGTAACGGCGTTAAGGCTCTGTTTAACCTTATTTAAAATGTCCTCAGTGTGTCCTTCTCCTGAAATGTGCTTGCTTTTCATGTGTGCCTGCATTTCCCTGTTATTTGGGGGGGATCTTTTGGGGCGTGGGCAGGAGGAAAATGAAGCAAATGCTAACGTTGTGTAAATATCAAAAGTTTAGTGCTTTGATCTTACGAACAAAATAATGCTTTTCTTGCTTTTCTTTTTAGGATGTGCTATACAAAAAAAATTGCTTGTCTTAATGCAGAAAGAAACAAAGCTTTTAAAGCTTTACTGAAGCCTGTCTCAATTGGACTCTCCAAGAAAAACCCACTTTGCTGTATTGCTTTGTGCAGACTAATAAACCCTTTTGACTTGCAAATCCTTTGCCATTATGAACTAAGTCTTGTATTATGCAGATCTCCCTGTCAGTTATCCTTTTCCTGTACCTTGATTTTGAACCTTTCCTTTACATCACGGCTTGCATGACATTTTCTTTCTTTTCCTTTCTTTTTGCTGTTTGCAAAGACTCTTGGGAGGATTTGACAGATGTGGTGGAGCAATTGCGCGATGATACTGAAGGTGCGTGCCACACCAACATCTTTCAGCTTTTATTTCCACTGCTCGCTGGCTTTTGACTTGATTATTTTGCAAAGTAGAGTTTTTCCTCTGCAGTGCAATAGCTGCTGCTTGCCGAGCGCGCCTGGCTGGTGGAGCCAGGTCCGCGGCCAGACCCTGCCGTGCTGGTTGTGCTCTGTTCGTGGTGGTTTCTGTGTGTTGAAGAAACATCCTCGATCACTCGTGTATGTATTGCCCTTGCAGTTGTGTTCGTTTACGTTTGTGCATCTGTTAATTTCCGTATTGTGAAGGAGTTTCTTCTACATTTTATCGTGGGTTCCATGTGATCGGTTTTGGTTTCTGAATTCTTACTGGTCTCTTTTTTTGATGATGTGCATACGGCGTTGCTTTAAAAAATACCTACAAAATTTTGAGGTGTTTAGATCAGAGGTAGAAAAAGGGGATGAACAAGTGACTCGTTTACTATTATTAAACGTATTCTGACACAATTATTCTCCTGAGCCTGAGAGAAACACAACTTAAAAGGTGCAGAGATACCTGGAGCCTAAATTTCAGAAACTGTTTCAGAAATCACCCCAAAGGTACAGATTTCCTGAAGTATTGCAGTTTATCGACTGGAGACTTGGCAAAAGCGACTCGAAAACCTGTATTGCAAACTTTGATTAAGACTTGTGAAGTACTAAATGAGGTTATATTTCTTAATAGTGCTTCCTGCTTGGTTCTTAGAAATGATTCAAGCATGAAATAGATGAGTCCCTGATTCAGCGTGCACTCAAGTAAATTTGTAATTGGTGACTAAATGCAGCTGTTCATGCTTGGGATGAAAGCGTTTGCAGCGCAAAAGGCTCAGAAACCTTTTGGAGGCAAAGGAATAAGTAGGAAATTTCCTGTTGTGGCTGAGAAGTCTCAGATGAGCAATTAAACGTGAAACTTGGTAAAGCAAAGTGGTGGAATTAAGCGAAGCACCTTTATGTTACGGACTCAGGGTTATAAACAGGGGGTTGTTTATGCACAGCACCGTGAAGGATACATCTGTCTTCAAAGGCATAGTTGCAGTTATTACTGGAATAACAACTTATAATTAAAGATAGTGAAGAAAGTGATTGGGACTTGATTAGGAAAAATCTTGCAGTGCAAATTGTTTTAAGCGTGTTTCTGGCAGAAGGAAAAAGCAAAATCAACCATGGCATGGTAAAATTTACTTTTCTTTCTATTTAGAAACTCATGGTATAAATCTTTTTAAAGAGTGCACAGAAATTAGTTTAGATGGCTTACCTACGTGGATCTCTTGCTGATCATCCTCCGTGGATGGTGCCTTTCTCAGCTGTTGGGCTTGGTTACGTGCCTGGGCTTTTTACAGATTGTTTTGTATTTAGTTTGTTACGTGCCTGGGCTTTTTACAGATTGTTTTGCATTTATTTTCTCTGGGAGGGATGAGGTTGAAATGTGGGTTTTGTATCTTTTCACTTGAATCCGGTTTTTTCCTGTGGCCACTGCCCCACTCTGTTTGTTTGAAACCCTTACGTGCCTGGTGTGTCACGGACCAGGGAGGTGGAGTGTGCTTCCCCCTCCAAAGCCAACACTAACAACAGAACAGCAAGAGCACGTGAAGCAACCTTGCAAAGTCTCTGCTGAAGATGTTTCCTCGCTTAGGAAACCAGGTTTCATCTTCATAACACAGTGTCAGTGCAGCTGCACCCCAGTTTATCCACACAGAGTAGGCCGTGGAGTTTTGAACGTAGAAGCAAAACATTAGTAGTGTAAAACATCTCTCTGTAGAAAGGCAGGCCTCTGCTTTTCACGTGTGAATAGTCATGGCCTTCTTGTTTTCATCACTGCTTAGCTGTAGGAGAGGGCATGCATGAGATGCAAAATGCAGATTGCCCCATTGAGAATGGTAGTCAGGGGCTTGCTTTGCTACCAGGACGTGAGGCATTTAAATTAAAAAGATAGGTAAAGGTGTTAAACTCCTATTTGTTTCCACAGCGTTAAAATAGCCTCAGTTTGCTTTAGCTTATTTTCCATCATGAATGGAAGGCTCTGGGTGACATCCCAGAAGCAGATGGCTCAGGTGGCAGGTATTCCTACCACTGTGGAGGGAGACAGGAGCGCACACCACATCTCCAGCACCTTGACCACAGCCAGGGTGTTCGCACAGACCCGCAGACACCAGTTTGGACTGGGTGCACTGGGACAGGCGGTGAGTACCCCTCTGCAGCTTCGACCCTGACGTTGGCCATTTCTTGTGTCCTCTGCGACTCACGGCGAGATGAAGCTGTCCCCTCTGCTGCTCGTCCTCCTTGGATACAAGTCAGTGCACTGGAAATGCTGCAGCAGATTGTGTGCCTGTAGGAATTTTGGGGAGGCAGACCCAGGACCTGAGGCTGCCAGGAGAAACAACATTAATTATTCTTTCTGTCAAGGACTTGTGGGGAGACAGCGGCAGCTTGGAGGAGTGTTCTCACCTGCAGTCTTGCACGACGTGGCTGAACAGAGGCTAAGGAAAAGACGGTTAAAATTGTTGAAGTCCTTAATTTATCTAGGGATTTGCTTCCCACGTTTATTTGAAATGATACACGTGTTCATGATTTCATGGTCTGAGCAGCTGGAACTAATGTCCTCCTAATGTCAAGTTACTTAGCTGAGACTCGGTGCACTGCAGAGAGCTGGCTGGTTTGGTTTTAAAAACTAAATATTTCCCCATTACTGTGTCTGTTAATCTGAATACAGTATGGACTGTGTGCACAAGGCTGTTTTATTCCATATGCAGAAGCACCCTTCTCAAGTTTGGGTTGCTTTCAGCTGGGATTCTTGGTGTAAGATGGATTCAGTACGTGGAGAATCTTGCTGAAATCCTCGTTAATCGGCATTACTTTGGGCTGATTTGTTCACATCTGCAGCGTTTCAAGACCCCCTGCAATTGAGGTAATCTGAATAATGAGGAGGGATAAAATTGATTGTTACCAAGTGGAGAAGTACTTAAGCCACAGTAACCCTTGGAGATCCAATGTAGCTTTGACTTGTTCCTTGACTTTTAGGTTAAAAGTCTAAGAATTTAAGTTTAGATAGATTAAGATTAATTCAGAATTATTAAGAATAGTTTAGATTAGATTTAAGAGTCAGTTGAAATCCAAACCACATTGAAAGGTGAAGTTTCAGATCAAGGTTTTTATGTTTTCATGCTTACGACATGACTCGGGTTGGGTTTTTGCAGTTAGAGGCAGCAGGAGAAAGTTGGGGGAGGTTTTGTCTCAGACCGAGAGTCTCGGCTGTACGTACACAGAGCGGCATCGGTCACAACAGACTCATGAAGCAGAAGCCTGTCATTAATCCTTGTGATGAAAACACTTATCAGTGACTTGATATTTTCGTTCTTTAGACTGTGGCTGCATCTTTCAGTCTTAAACGACAGCATAGTCCAGCTTGTCTTTTTTCCTAAGTACTTTCATCAGCTGAGATGTTCATCAGCTCTTAAGAGCAAAGAAGGAATCTGGTTGTCTTGAACACCCATTGGTTAGTCCTGTTTATTTGTTTTATTTTGGTTTTAATCAGTGTAATGTCGACCCCAGCTGACACAGCAGTCACAGACCTCTCAGCCTCATGGAGAACCCTGCGCCTTGCCTCAAAAAGCACCTATCTCTCTGCACCTTGCTACTTCCTGTGGTGGGGAAGAAGAAGAAAAGGAAGCTGTGATTATTAACAAAGTTTCAGGCCACTCTTGAAACTGCTCAGTGTGATCAGGAGGCAAAGACTCAGCTGTTTGAATGGGTCTGATCTGGCTCCTGAGATCAGCGTGCAGAGCTGTGTATGCAGAGGAGCTTCTCTTCAAAGCCTGGCCAGCCAAAAATACTGGTGCTCAACCTAGACTGATTTAAATCAATCAGTCAAGAAAAGTCTGTTTGTTTCTTTTACCACAGCACCGTACTTTTTCTGAGGGTACAATTTTGATTATTCAGACCTAGTAGAGATCTCTGCTGGTTTATTTGTTAGAAGTACCCATTTATTGCAGATGGGAGTTGTGCTACCAGCAGTACTGGGAGAGAGGGCTGGTGGTTTTTTATGGACAAACTTATTCTGAGTGGGTTTTGAGTCATGATACCAAAGCAACGCACAATTTTGTGGCTATAGTTGTTTGTGGTGGAAGCAAATGCTGTATTAAAATTAGGTTTTGCAATCAATTGTATGTAATATTACGTCTGACTTGTTTTTCTTGAGCCTGTGTTCCTAGCAATGGTGACTTAAAGCTACATTGCAAATCACAAAACAATCTGCTCCATGTACATGGAAATCTATCAGCTTAAAGTAGTAGGAGTTCAGCAAAGGCAATAAAAATCACCCACTAAATGAAATCTTTCTATAGTCCAGTGCTGCTGTGAGAATTGCATTCCTAAGTGAGTACTTAGAAGTTTTCTGTATTATGAAAATAAATAACCAATGCCTAATCTCAGCCTTTTTATAAGCTGAGAGCCAAGACGGTCGGTGCTTGAGGAGCCTAGAGTGACTAAAACAGAACTCTGGGGGAGTTTGGGTCACTTTGTCCTTCAGCTGTAGAAGATGGGGTGAAGGCGCAGGAACAACTGGACTGGTTTGAGGTTTCTCTGGGCAGGAGGGCGTTTGTGGCCTGGGGAGGTGGCTGGGCCCATGGCTCTCACCTGATGGCAGTTCCAGCTGGCATGGCTTGGCACCATCTGTGTGCTCCCCTTCTTCACGATGCACCTTCTCTCTTTGAGCTGCTTGGCACAGGAGCCGCTGGGGGGGCTCCAGTGAAGTTTAATGGAGAAGACTCTGGTACTGGTCCATCCTGGAGAAGAAAGGGGAGAGAAAGGCCGTGGCAGGCAGGGTGTAGCTTAGGAAATAGATTTTTTTATTTGTTTCTTGCAATGAGAAGCAGCTAGGAAGTATAAATATCTCAATAATAAGGTATAGAGGTGGATATATAATACGACAGAGGTATATTGTAATACTGTGGAGGAAGAGTACAGTCTTGGAAAACTTCTGTACGCGTTGGAAATGCAAGGAGGTGTCAGAGGAGCCATGAAGGAAGTGATGAGCAGTAAAGATAGAGAGGCACATTGATGGATTAAGGGTGAGAGGATTAATGGTTGTCTTTAGACTGAAGAGCAAATCTCAGGTGGAGAATCCTCACCAGGTTGTAGTGGCTGGACACAGCTGGGGACTTGAGTTGGAGCAAGTGATGGCTGTAACGTTCAGTGATGTGTTGTCAAGGTGTAAGGCACAATATTAACAGCTGTCTTCAACTTTCCTTGCCTAAAAATGTAAAGCTTTTGTGCTTACTTGAAGTATTGAGGCACCTGTAATGTAATATTTACCTATTCTCATGTCATTGTGGCTTTGGGTATGAAACGCTGGTTAATTTTTGCTTTTCTCAACAAAAGGCCTGAAGAGAGCGCCTCACATCAAACTGTCACAGCCCCCAAAATGCCTTTAGGGACAAAAAGAGAGAAAGATGGGACATCTTATTATAGTAAAAATAGCTTTTGTTACTCAACAGTGGTTGTCTTCCTTTTTTTAATAGATCCTAATTATCTCATGGCTAATGAACGCATGAACCTGATGAACATGGCGAAGCTGAGTATCAAGGGGCTGATCGAATCGGCGCTCAACCTGGGCAGGACGCTGGACTCCGACTATGCACCTCTTCAGCAGTTCTTTGTTGTGATGGAGCATTGCCTTAAACACGGCCTGAAAGGTAACGTGGCTCGCCAGGTGTCCTCCCGGGCCGGCGCTCGTCGCGTAGGAGTGGGAAATCTTCTTTTCCGAGTCTGCTTCTGTAATCTGCGGTGGAGCAAAGAGAGGTTGAGTAGGGTCACTGTTGTGATCACAGTTGACTCGACAGGCCGCGGGAAGCGGAAAAAAAATCTGCCGAAGGTTTGACACTGCAGGGGAAAAGTTCATGGTTGCTGCAGACACTTGTCATTTTTGAAGCGTTGTTTCACATGTGGCTCCAGTATAACTGAGTAATTTGTGGTAAAATTGGCTCCTCAGCAAACTCAGGACTCCCTTTTTTCGGCACTTCCTCATGCTTTAGAGACACAACAGTCCTCTTGCTGGAAGAGGAACTGCAACATGAAGATCCTTTCTCAGTATTTCTATTTAACCTGAGGATTTGGGCTTTTTTGGTTAATATCTCGTAAGCTGCTTTCCAGAATGGCAAGCAGAACTTATATTGAACTATATAATATGGAGTTGCAACTAAAATTGCCAAGCAGCTGCTTTTCTTGACGTGCTGCCCTTGTGTGAGTGTGGCTTGTGATGAAAACCACCAGGTGGTATTAAATTCCCTGTCAGCACCCACGTGTACATCCTGTGGTGCTTCTGTAGTAGCATGTTCAGTATTACACATAGGGGAGACAATTCCTGTGCTGGTTAAGAGGGAGAAGCATTTGTATTCTTCAGGTCCTTTCTTTATCCATTCACCACTGTCCGTTCTACTGGTTGTAAGCTTGAAGTTAATGGAGTTCTCGGTCTTCTCGCTGCTGCTGTGAAGTAGCAGGGACAGCTGTGGAAGAAGGAGATGAATTTCCAGCTTTAGTACCTAGGGTTCCCTAGAAAGCTTTTCTGGAGGGGAAAGGATGCAGAGGGAAGCCCCTGGAAGCCAGGGAGCGGGTTCAAAGCACTGTGGTCCTTTTCCTTGTAATGTGATGGTCAGCGAGGGGGGGGGGAAACTACTGTGCACATCAGGTATAACCTGGGGATGGCAACATCGTCCTAGTGGAAACTGTTGACCCCTAGCAGTGGCTCTGAGTTTCTGGTTATCTCTGCGTGGTGTTGTTTTGGAGTATTTGGGATGTATGAGGTATTTTCTGGCAGCTGCCTCAAGCCCCTGTTGCGTTATTTGAATGATGCCAGGAAGTGCCACGCTCGGGCATAAGAAGTCATCTTTTGTCCTTGCCCAGCCGCGGTCCCGAAAGAATCTTTCTGGTGGTTTTTGTTTACTCCTCAGTCACTTCTGACCATATTTGAGAATGTATTTACTCAGCACAGGCCTAACGGGCTCATTTGTTCTCTCTCTTTCTCTTTTCTAGCCAAAAAGACTTTTCTTGGGCAAAATAAGTCATTTTGGGGACCACTAGAACTGGTAGAAAAACTTGTTCCTGAAGCTGCAGAGATTACAGCAAGTGTTAAGGATCTCCCGGGGCTGAAGTAAGTACAGTCTTCTACCACACAAGTATATAATGCGGTTTTATTGTGAGGAGGTTCCTGAAGAAGAGAAGGGACAGCAACCAAAACCTTCCGGAATCCATCTGCCACCTTCTGCTGATACAGTTGGGTCACTTCTCTTTTATTTATTCTTCATTAAGGATCTCAGAAGGCGAGGATAGGATATATTCTTTGTGTTACACGTGGGGTTTTACGGACAATAGCTCATTATTGCTGGCACCAATTGAGTGACGATGTGCCTTAGGAATGGGAATAGCCTGTACTGACTCTTTCTGAAGTCAGACTCAAGAGGAAGGGGGTTAGAAGAAAGGTGATTACAGGTTTGATAACATTGGGGCTGATAGAGGTAATTTTTTTTTTTAAATAAATTCTGGTAAACTTGTAAAGTTTGTGTAAAAGGGGGGCACAGTCACCAAGTTGGAGAAGATTCTATAGCTTATGTTGATAGAGAAGGGGAAAAAACCCACTTTAAGCATATATTGCTTTTAAAAATTCCATGGCCATTTCAGACATCACATTTGGGTTTGCTTATTCAGCACTAAAAAGGAACTGATAAGAAGGTTTCAGTTTGGAGAGCAGGAAGAAAAGGTATAAGGATGCTTTTGTTTGAGCAGCAGGACTAAGGATTAAATGTGCAGCAGAGCACTCTGTGAAAGCAGAGGTGAATAGGTTCAGTAACGGTTTATTTTGGGTTAGTGTTTAGCAATGTACATATGGACAGGTGCTTTTCCTGGAGGTCTGTGCAGGACTGGAAGCTGTTCCAGGATCAATGTGCAGTGCCAGCAGCGTTGTGCCAGAGCTCCTGTTACCTTTTCCTGTTGTAAAAGAATATTGAAACGTGAAATAAATGGAAATAAAGAACAGTTTTTGACTAATTTTCTAATCCTCAGCCTTGCATTGATGCTAACCCTTGGAAAATGTTATATCATACATCAGTGAGGTCAAGGCTGGGGAGCGGTGAAGATGAGGATGAGTGTCACGGGCAGTCGTGGCCTATACTGAGTAAGGTTAGGAGATGGAGTGTCCCACGTGCAGCTTGGTGTAGCACAGCTGCCTGGCTGCTGGAGACGGAGCAGAAATGTCCCTCTGATGGGAATGCTGCTCTGCTCGGGGATTTACACCTTGGGAGCTGCTGGTGCTGGCTGCTGGCCAGAGCCAGAGCTGTGCTGCAGCCTGTCCCTTCTCGGATTTTTAAAGCTGCGTGCTTCACATTGCAGGAGAAACAGAGAGGGGAGGACTGTGACTGTACCCTATTGCATCCTGTGAGCGTGTTAATGAGCAAAGCACCTCGAGAGAACAGGACGGGATTGGTGTTTTCAGTTGTGTTGTGGATTCTGACCCGACTTAACACCTTCCTGAAGGAGCGTTCTGCTGGCGTGCCTTGCCCGAAACGGGGTTTGAATTAGAGGGTGGTTTGAGGAAGCGGCTGGTCTCTGCCCATCTAGCAGGTGTAAAGCCAGGAAAATATTTTTACTGTAACAAATACGTAATTAGTTATAAGAGAAGCGGTGATTGCTTAAACTTGCCTGTAACTATTTGCACTTAAATACTTTGTATTTTCCTGTTTTCATCAGTGCCAGCTGATGAAGATGCAGAAACTTTACACAGAAAGGGATTATTAAAGCTGTTTGTGCACACACACTGCAGTACGTGGGTAATTCTCATTTCTTGCCTTTGTAGGACACCCGTGGGAAGAGGAAGAGCTTGGCTTCGCCTGGCTCTAATGCAGAAGAAGCTTTCTGAGTACATGAAAGCCTTGATCAACAGAAAGGATCTTCTCAGGTGAGCGCTCTCTCAGATTAGGTCAAATTCTCTTCTGCCCTCTTGTAAGATCTTCACGCACTTTTACGCCCAGATGGGAAAACGTGCGTGTGCTTTCCTGGAGAAATGGTAATAGTTGTGAAATGCAGAGCTTCCTCTGAGGGACTAGAAATGCTTAGTATTCTTAATTCAAAAGCTGTTATTTCTCCACTTTAATCGTTTCAAGTATCCATTGGAATAAACACAAATTTTGGTTCCAAAGAAGTGATTTGGGTGAAATATCTGTACAGAGGCGATACAGCATTCTCCATCTGCAAGATCTTAGCCCTGGATTTATTTCTGACCTTGTCACTTCATCACCATCTGATGTGGAACGAGTCCTTTCACTTCTCTCTATCTCTGCTTCCCACTTGTAAAACAGCAATAATTTTGTAGTTTAGCTGAAAGTCCATGGATTTGAACTACTAGGTCTGTGTGAAGCAGTGGGATTTAATAAATACATTGGTGTTTCTGTACTCAAACAAGTAGGTTTTTGTGGGCTGTCCATGCAAATGCATAGCTGGCCTGGGGTTAGAGAGGAAAACCTGGTATTGCCCACAGGAGAATGTGGTGGTGTTAGGAGAAGTAGGTAATAGAGCAGTAAACGTGTGCCACTTGGAGATGCAGACTTGTAAAGATGCAACGCTTGTCTTCTCTTGCTGTGCTTCCCGCAGTGAATTTTATGAGCCTAACGCACTGATGATGGAAGAAGAGGGTGCGATCATTGCTGGCCTCCTGGTAGGTTTGAATGTCATCGACGCCAACTTCTGCATGAAAGGAGAAGACCTGGACTCGCAGGTACTGGGTGTTCAGTTAATGGCTTTTTCAGCTTGTTTAATTTGGAACCATTTTCAATTGTAGAGGACTTACATCAGCCGAGATAGAAGCTTGTTACTGTGATTCTGTTCTTGGGAGCACACTTGTGTTCTTCACTGTGGAGTGAAATGTAAAGGGTTTAATGTAAAACGCAAGTTTTTCTTTTCTAGGTTGGAGTTATTGATTTCTCAATGTACTTGAAAGATGGGAACAGCACGAAAGGCACTGAAGGGTAAGTGCATGCACAGCTCTCCTGCTTATCTCTTGGTAGCCTGTACTCAAGTATTTCGGGTCAGCCTGCACTCTGTCACATTTTTCATTAAAAGGTACTTAGAGCGAATTGCTCTTCCCTGGTGAGCCATACTATGGAAATAAGATATTGGAAGTATTGGGAGGGCACAAGGGTAAAGGAAAGCCTCTCAGGAGCTCTGTGTGTTCTTCCTTAGCTGACAATGGAAGAGAAAAATGTTTTAAAAGGGACCCTCTGCTGAGTTAGGTCTTGCCAGTCTTTCAGGCCTTTCCGGTAAGCAGCTTAGGCTTGTGGCCAGTGGGACAGAAGTTGATTTTCAGCACCATGGCGTCCTTAGGAAAAGAAAATCTCCAGTTGGAAATCCTGTAAGTGTGGTAATAGTCTAAAGTACCCAAACGGAGCTGTGCAACGCTCAGAGCAAGAGCTTGAAAAGCACAGGGTGGACACGCTGACGTATGGTCAGGTGTTGAGGCCTTCTGAGGAACTCCTGCTCTTTTGAACTGAGGTGTATCTTCAACCATAATCCTACAGGTGTTTTGATTACACTGACTTTATAGCTGCATTTTTAGAACATCTGTGTGTCTGACAGTCCCTGACTCGTGTTTGATTAGCAATGCAGTGTTGGTGTGAGAGGGCAGTGCTCAGGCTGAGCTCAACGCTATGTCTTGTTTTCCAGTGATGGCCAGATAACTGCTATTTTGGACCAGAAGAACTACGTAGAAGAACTCAATAGACATTTAAGGTAAGGACATGATTTTATGTATTCTTTATTATATAATATAGCAAAATAGAAAACAGGCTTTTAAAAGAAGGAGGAGTTACTGTAGTTTTTTTTCTCTTGAACAGCGCTACGGTAAACAACCTACAGGCCAAGGTGGATGCCTTAGAAAAATCCAACACTAAACTGACAGAGGAGGTAAGTGGGGTAGAAAATCCTCTGATGTTTTGGCCTCTTTAAATCCAGGATTATAATGGTAAGAGAGGAGCTGATTTCTGAATTCAGGTGTAGGTAACGATGACTGTTTAACGATGGAGCTGGAGTAACAGCTGCCAAGGACCTACACTGGCTGTTGCTAAGCAAGCACCAGGTGGAAAAACAACCCAATGCTCATGTTAAAACCCAAAAGCTGCCGAATGTGCTCGATCCCTCTGAAATCTTGGCACGCTTTCTCATTTTCGGAAAATGTCTTAGAATAAAGGGGATGGTGGCTGTGGTTCTGAACGCAGTACAGCTGATGTAGGTATGAGACTTCCAGACACGACAGAGACATCTGTAAATGGCTATTTGGACAGGTTACTCCAGTGTAAAAACAGCAATCAGAATGTTTCAATAACTCTTCCTGTGGCCTGTCACAATTTTCAAGAAAGAAAGGGAAAAATTCTCATTATGGATAAAACATTGTTCAGTCTGAGCACGAGCAGTGGCTGCTACGTGAGTCATGGGTGAGCCTGTGCTATAGAATTGCTCTCCCAGTTCATCAGTAATGGCATAAACGTAATAAGTGCTTGTTCACCCTCATTAAAGGAGGTCTGTGTGTCTGGTTATTGAACACTTACTCTGATGGATGTATTCCAAATGATGGGAGGCTTTAGTGCTGGAAATCGGCGTGTCCACTCTTGCAGTTGAGGAGCAAGACATGGATTTTTGCAGTTACAATAGTTTCTTAATTTTAAAAAGGTGATGTGCAGTAGTGGCTGCCTTTCTCAGTGCTACCACAAGAAGTGGCTTTTGATTTATTACCTGCAGATTGAGTGCTGTCCCCATTAGGCATGGTACCCGTGAGATTAATTGCAGTGTTCACTGAAGGATTTTTTAGACTTGGAATAATTTACTTGCTTGTGTCTGAGGTCTGCATGCTGTTCAGAGTTACAGGGCCACTGCTGTGCCAAGCAGCGCTGTTCGCAGGCTGCAGTTAATGAACTGCATCAAATGGCACATCAATTTATGTATTTGCCTTGAGTTGTACCAAGGACTCACGGTTTTTTCAGGGTAAAGCTCGGGTTTGTCATCTAATAACGTCGCTGATCTCTTGGGATGTCACTGAGCTTTTCTTGTAAGCTGTGACTGACAGAGCCAGGAGGAGCTCTCTGGAGTTATTTTGGCCTTTGACCGTACGCTCAAAATAATGCCAGGCTCTGGCGATGTCTTCACTGGGAGTCGCTCTGAGGCCGATGCCCTGTCTCCTAGGGGTGGTGCATGCTACTGCCAATCCTCCCTTTCCAGCCAAATCCTCCTCCTCCTGTGAGGTTTTGTAGTGCTGCTCCTGCCCAAATGTGGAGCATCGTACATCTCAGATGCTCTACCCAGCAGCATACCCAAACTGCTGAAGCCTTAGCAAGCCCACACAAGTGTTTCTTCTCTGGTCATTTATTTCCCTTGCTAGAAGTCAACAAAACTTAGCTGTCACGCTCTCACATTTTTCCTTTTTATTATTGTTGGCAAGGGAAGGGGAATGCAGAGAGGATTACTGCTAAGCCGTGCTAACCACAAGTTACACCACACCTAGCAGGTAGTGACCTGAAGAGAGTCCTTAACTTTGCTCAATGACAGGAACCAAAATGGGCTGGGAAGTCTCTGTTTGAGCCAGTACTGGAAATCCGTTACACTGGCGCTAATCGATGCTTTTTCAGATCATCATTCTCTGTGGTAGAGGCTGATTTGTCTTTTGCCATGCCACGTATTTTTATTTCTTACTGTGAATGTAAAAAAAATGAGTACAGAAAATGTGTCTAGAGAAGGAAAAAATGCTCAGGTCTGGTTTTGACGTGTTACTGTTGTTCTGTTTCGTCCACAGCTTGCGGTTGCAAACAACAGGATTATTACCCTGCAGGAAGAGATGGAGCGAGTTAAAGAGGAAAGCTCTTACTTCTTGGAGTCCAATCGTAAGGTTGGTGTGTGTGAACTTTTACAGGACTTTCTGGGCAGTTCCAGCCCAAATTTGACAGGGACGTAGGTGCTTCAAAGAGACTTCATTTCCTTATGTATCCAAGACAAAATCTGCCATAGATGAGAGTGCAGCCCCTGCAGAGGGGAACAGATGGACCCTGGCCACTGTAAATCCTGCCTGGCCGTACCTGATTAAACCACGAGCATGTGCAGAGCCGAGAGCGAACGCAGCAGGTTCATGGCTTGCTGTGCCGTGGTGTCAGGAGGGACAGGAGGAACGAGCGTTTTCTCTGAGGGGGCGGCAGAAATATTTGGAAGTAGTTCTGCTTTTTTTTGGCCTGAGACGCTACCCTGTTTGGAAATGAAGGGGCAGGATCTACAGTCCTTTTTTGCTGATTTAATGGAAGCGCGAGAGACTGTGACAGAACCTGGTTTTAGTTTTATGGATTTTTAAATTTTACTTAATCCATTTTTTAAATGCATTCATGTCCATGCATTTGCACTGGGCATCTCAGGGAAGGAGGGAAGTAGTCACTTCACTTGGAAGCTGCATTAAGTGAATGGAGCTGCCGAGTTGTGAGAGTTGCAGAATTTGTTTTTGAGGTGGTGAGCAAAGCAGATCATCAGCAAACGTGAGCGTTAGTTGTATCTATTGACAACTTAATGAGGTGTTTTCGTTACCTTAGGCCACTAAAGACAGAACCGCCGATGGACAAGCACTGACTGAGGCACGAAAACAGCTGAAGGAGGAGACTCAGCTGCGGCTGGTAAGGACAGCGTGGGCTTGAGCTCGCTACAAGGGGCTTTCTCATGAAATACCTCCATGTCAGGCAATCGCTTCTGAAAAGGTTTGACCAGGGGACTGTTGCCTGCCTGCTTCTGCCTGATCCGAGACAGCCTTGCCAGGCGCTTCAGGGTGGTTGTGTCGCGATGGGGATGAGAGCTGGCGGGTAACGCTGCCTGCTCCCGTGTTTCAGGATGTGGAGAAGGAGCTGGAGGCGCAGATCGGGATGCGGCAGGAGATGGAGCTGGCCATGAAGATGCTGGAGAAAGACGTTTGTGAGAAGCAGACTGCGCTGGTGGCGCTCAGGCAGCAGCTGGATGATCTCAGGGCCCTAAAGCATGAACTGTCCTTTAAGCTGCAGGTAGGGAAATAATTACATCAAATGCAGTGGACTCCACATTAAAAATGGTAGCTCCTGTTCTTTTTTCTCCCCATACCTGTTTAAAAGGCACTGGGTGTGGAAGGCTTACACGCTGTGTACCATGCTTGTGTCTTTCTGCAAGTCAGCCTTAGCACTCGAACAAGTGAATGTGCTGGGGACTAAAGGAAGTGCACTTTCTTCTGAAAGACTCATGATGATGCAGAAATGTGTGTGTTTGACTGGGAAAAGCATCTTCTGGTCTTGTTATGGTATAAAAACTGAGCAATGGTAGCTCCTGTTCCAGTGCAATCTAGTATTTTGAATGTCTGTGGTGTAATGACATACGTTCATCATCACACATTGATGTCTGATGACACAAACAGACTCAAGACAAACTGCAACCCAAGACGCTCAGAAATAAATCCTAAATATATTTGAGAACATGAACGAGTTGATTCTGCTCTCCTTGAGCCAATCATCCTATGCAAAACAGCCAAATGGTATTATCAGGCACAGCCTTAATGTGTTACACAGGAAGCTTCACTGGTTGTGGTTTTGCCCTTCTGTTATATACACAGCCTGTGTCCTCGCAATACTGACCTGGCATTTGCTTTCTTGAGCACCTTCTGCTGTGTCTTTGGCTTCTGCCCTTTTCATGTGATGTGCCACGTGATTTATGGTGGCTTAGTTTGGTTTTCCTGCTACTTACAAAAACCACGATGCTGCTTTTTCCAGAGTTCAGACATGGGAGCGAAACAGAAGAGTGAATTAAACAGCCGCTTGGAAGAAAAAACGAATCAGATGGCGGCCACCATCAAACAGCTCGAACAAAGGTAAAAGATGGAGCTTGTGCAGTTATCAAATCTTGTGTTTTGTAGTGGTTGTGTCCCACTGCCCTGAGTGGGCCAGGTGAGCGTCTGAGAGCTCTGCTTTACCACCACTGAACAGAGCTGTGTGAGGAGAGCAATCATGCAGTGAGATGCTGCTGGGAGAAGGGTTTTGCCCGCAGGAGGGCTTCCATTAAATAGAACAGTAATGGACATAGCAGCTTTATTTGTCTGTGCTCTTCTGCGTTATCCAGCCGTTACAGGTCACTTACTGTCTCTGATAGCACTGATAAAAATATCGGTGTGAGCTTAGAGAGGTGCTTGACTGGCAATGACAGTGTTACAGGGGGAGCAGGAAGGACAAGAGTGCAGTGGAGGGGCTTGGTTATTCCAAGTCTTCCCTGTTCCCCCTGGTCTTGTTCTCAAAACCAGGCCTTGCGGTGGTTTGGCCAAGGGTTCAGAGCTTTGGTCTCTGTGAATGGCCTCTACTGCTGTGGTGGCTCTGAGACACATGAGAGGAAAGCATAGGTCTCAGCAGCGTGTGTCGACTGGGACTTATTTAACAGTAGATCAATGCACTAAATTAACACTCTTGTTTTAGGGTTTATATTGTGAATGGTTCTTTATAAAATAGGTAATTTTGTGTCTTGAAAATCTGTATTTGAAATGGTTTCATGAGACCTGTTTAGCTAATTACTTGCTCTTTTTCTCTTGCTGTTCTTATTTTTCCATTTCCCTGTCATCCTCATTTTGACTGACTGACTTATACAGTGAAAAGGATTTGGTGAAACAGGCAAAAACCTTAAATAGTGCAGCAAACAAACTGATCCAGAAGCATCATTAGACATTTTTGTGTCTGGTCACCTCACAGCTCTGACATCAGAACTCATTTACGAGGGGAGAACTTGAGAATTGCTAAAAGCAACCTTTAAATTGTTAATTGTCACCTAAAGTTGATTTGGAATTTGCTGAATTTTTAAAAACCAGTGAGTTTTTCTGCCGAGATTTAGAGTCGGGTATAAAAATCCCTAACTTTGCCATTTAAACTGTGTTAAAGTACCGATGAGTTGGCCAATAAACCCACCAGAACAGCGTAAGGAGTGGCAGACAAGTGGTGATGCACAGCGCATGCAGCAGCACGAGTCTTCGCCGTTTGCTGGATCCTAGCGGTGCTCAAGCCGATGCCCCATTGGCCAGCTCTGGGAAGTCAACTAGTTTTCTGTGTGACCCTTTTTTTGTGAAGTAGACGAGAAAAAAAAAAGCATCCCTGGAAGTTGTTGACAGTAGTTGTGTGCGTGCCCCAAGCCGTTACCCGCTCCCGTCCTAGGCGGTTGGTTGTGTGCGTGCCCAAAGCCGTTACCCGCTCGCGTCTGTGGCGGGCGCCTCTCGGTAGCTCGTCACCGCGGAGACCGGCCCTCTTGTACCGAGCCTGCTCGCGTCGGTTCGGCCTCGGTGACTTGGTTGGGAGGGTGGGGACTTATCCTTATTCCTTTAAACTTCATGTGTCCAGAATTAGTAGCTAGGTGTCTTAGAGTAACATGATAGAGTGGTAAATTCAGTGGAAACCTCCTTATCTTTGCATTGCCTTCTACCTCTGCCATGGATCCCTCTGGGCGTACGTCGCGGTTCTTGGCCGAGGGAAGCCGAGGAGAGGCCTTTGGATCGGTCTCTGCTCTTCCTAGAAAGGGAAATGAGACGTTTTACATAAGAAATAATCTGATCTTTATACTCTGGTGTGGAAAAGGAACAAAAAAAATAGAAGAAAGGAACAAAACGTGCAGCGGTGGGGAGTGGAAGTGGTAATTTGGTACTCGACCATTCCTTGTCTGAGTAGTTAGTGGTTCAAAAGGAAGGGTTGCCTTTGACTATTACACTTTTATTTGCTTTTAAGTTTCTGCTGCTCAATGCAAACAGAATTTGCTAGTGACAGAACAGCTAAAGCTTCAAAGTGGCTCCGAATAGGAAAAATAATCCAGTTAACACCCCAGTGCAAAACTTTAGGTAACTGTAGCTTGGACTGTATGAACTAATCTGTTCCTCCTGTGGCCGCAGCAGTTCACCCTGCTGGCCTGGTACAGGCTTTAGGTGATAAGAACTCCTGGAGATGTTATTTATTTCAAGAAAACCACGTTTGGGGGGGTTTCTGTATTGAGTAAGGGATTGGTTTTTTTTCTCTAGTGAGATGCCTGTAAAAATTCTTCAGGGCCAGTTCCCCCTGTGCCCTGTGGGATGTGCTCCTCAGGGCACAGTGGGAGGCGAATGTGACTGAAACGCAACCGGGGGGGGGAAAAACTACCTAGTGATGCTCACTGAGTCTGGTGAAACCTGGGGCCTCAGCCCTGTCCTCTGCGCAAGCGCGGGGCTCATTTCGGGGGCTCCCGCACACGAGCGGCCTTGGAGACCCCATTGAAATCTCTGCGTGATGCCCAAGTCGTGTGCTTGAAAATATCCGTGTAACCCCCAGTAACCTTTTACTAGAAACACTTTGTAACTACCTGGAGAAAAAGGAAATACATAATAATAAAAGGGTGGAAGCTTTCAGCAGGGTACCCAAATAGTGATAACTCCCCTGCCCCTCCCCAGCTTTCTCCTGGAGAAACAAGGGGCTAGGCTGGCTTGATGCTAAAATAAGACAGAACTAAGGATCCAGCCATTCGTGATGCCGGGCCCGAAGCGGAAACGCTTTGGTGTACGAATGCCTGGGTGCTTGAGCCAGTGTGGCCAGTCAGCGGGGGGCCCAGGGACAGGCAGCCACTCCCAGTATCGTAGCTAACCTATGTCGCAAGTTCCAGTTACGCGTGTAGAGCTGAAATGTAACGTTCATTAAAATCCAATTGGACTGAAAATTCTGTGTACTTGAGGTTTGCTTTGAATCTGGATAAAAGTGATGTCTTATGTTTTTCATCTAATGGCTGTAAACTGTAGTAATAGAATAAAAACTATTGAAAAGCAGAGCTTTTGCCTGGTTCACCTGCATTTTGCTTTTCTTTATAATATTTTCCCCCTGTCCATCGTTTTTACCATTCTTTGTTTTGGCTTTACCTTTTCACTGGGTTTTTTCTTTGTTGGTTGAACTCGGTCTTCCTCCCCACCATGGCTTTTGTTTTTTATCACAAGTTCATGTGGCTCAAATCCAGATTGCGACAGGCAGAGAAGGACCGGCACTTGGCGCAGGAGGACAACCGGCTCTTCAAGCAGGAGTTCGGCGACAAGATCAACAGCCTCCAGCTGGAAGTGGAGGAGCTCTGCAGGCAGCGGTGAACAGATCCTTTCCTCGTCTCTTTTCTGGGCTGGTTTCATTTGTGTCTGGTAGAAAACAGGCAGGGCCATCGTGGAGGTAGGGGCTGGAGGTGGTAACTCGCTCTGGCAAACTGGCGGTGCTGGAGATGCAGGAGGACAGAGGTGACCACAACTTGTTTGGGAAGCTCAGCAGAGCCAACGCCAAAGAGTTGAGGAGCAAGGGAGTCGGTCCAGGTTGTCAGTCTGACAGACACCACGGGGATTTATTGGGTTTTTTCCAGTTGAAAGTGGTCTCCGTTTTGCTGGGGGGGAACCAAAAATTTGGAGGCCTAACGTAGAGAACTTGGCGAGAGCTGTAACGCTTTCCCTGCGGTGTCATGGCTTTAGCAGTGTCAGGAAAACAGAAATCCTCTGACCTTAAACCAGGACAGAGCTCTCCTGTGGCCGTGGTGCATCTTCTGTTGGTAGCAAGGGCACTGCGATGGATTCTGTGGAAGCCTTGCTGGATGCATTTATTTATATTTTGCTCTCATGGCACAGCTTTTTGGTTTCCTCTTTCAAAAAGTGACCAAGGTGACCCACAAAGGGCTTTTCTCAGAAATGTGTGTGAGGTCCTGGCTGTGCATGGGCGAGCTTAGCAGTGTTCCCAGGTATAAACAGGGAGCACATCTCGTCTGCGTCTGCACCTTGCGCAGAGCCAGCTGAACTGAACGAGCGTGGCTGCCTGGGGAGGAGATTTGCACACTGGAGTATTTCTGCCTCAGCTGGACGACTTCTGATTCCTTTCTCACTGAGCTAAACCAAGGCAGTGTGGAAATGGCTGAGCCTCCTTTACCGAGGGGCTGTACTCTTTATTTAACTGAGTTTCTAAAGCAGTGAGCAAAGGGTAGTGGGTTGAATTGTTGGAATTAATTTGAGAGGAAATGGGGCTTTTTGTGGTGGTGGTGCTGATAAATCAAGTTATCAACAGGAATTCCCTCGGTTGGTTTGGTTTTAGAGCCAGAAATGAATCCTTGCTCTAAGTCTCCACCAGCTTTACCCACTTCAGTTAAGCTACATGGTTAAGGAGGCTGTAGTCATCAGGAGTGTTTAAAAACTCTTGGAGCAGCGTGGAGCTGAACGAGGGCGATAACCACGAATGTTGGCTTTAACAGCAAGGGGGATTCTGGCTGTTGTGTAGCACGACTCTGGTCGCTGCTTTTACCAGCAGATACTCAGTTTATAGGCTTTGATTTTGGAGCAGGGGTCCTTCCCTTTGGCAGCTACTGAGTTTGGTTTGAAATTATTTCAGTAAATGGGATTTCTGGTGCCTCAGTCCCTGATGGTCTGGGTGCCCCGAGAGCTTTGTCGCTGTGGGTTGGCCGCAGTCATGAGGAGCAGTCAGGAGGAGCAGTCGGTCTGTCCTGTGTGGACGCTTTGAGCAGTGGCCGAGGACACTGGCTTTGGGTTCAGAGCCCGTCCTGGAGCAGTTGCTGTGCTGGAGAACGTGGTTTTGAACAGGGCGCTGACCTACAGTGCCATAACAAATGCACAGCTGAGTGCTTTTCTCCAGGCTTAGTCAGCAGGTTTATTTTTGGCAAACTGTGCTGGAATCAGATGAAAATCTTTCACATTTTCCCTCTAGACATATTATGGCTTAACACACTTGTTATTCAGAGAGGTGCTTTCCAGACAGTGCCATAACAAATGCACAGCTGAGTGCTTTTCTCCAGGCTTAGTCAGCAGGTTTATTTTTGGCAAAACTGTGCTGGAATCATATGACAATCTTTCACATTTTCCCTCTTGACATATTATGGCTTAACACACTCGTTATTCAGAGAGGCGCTTTCCAGCTCTTGAATTGGGTCCAGTTGCTGGGTGTAAAGAGCAGGTTCAGTACCTGGTTATCTCTCGATGACGAGTGTTACAGAACCATCGCCGTCACTCACAATTCACCTCAATATTCCAGGAGCCACCTTGAGCTGGAGCTGAGGCGGGAGCGGGACAGATGGTCACACAGCCACCAGCGCAGCCCCGAGGACAGAAGAGGTGCCAAGAACTGGCTGAGAGCGGTAACGCGACTTCTATTCCTCCTGGCCTGTGCTTTTGGAGTGTGGTTTGCCTTTCCCCAGCTTTCCTAGGCACTACCTGTGTCTTTTTTCATGTGCCACAGCAAAAAGAGCTCTGGAACATTTTTCACACACGCTAAACAGGACCCTCACAAAAGTATTGGAAGCATTGCACTGGATTGCAGAGCAGTGATTTCCTCTTCTGAGCTGGGAACCTGACAAGATCCTGACAGTGACCGTGCTTTTCCTTCGCTAGGTGAATAAAAGCAAGTGTCCCACAGCAGGAGAGGTGCTGTGCACTTACATCTGAGGAAAAGCAAACTGGCTGGTTTTTAATTTTTGCATCGTAATAAAGGAAAATTCTCCCAAAAGAGGTAAACAGTGAAATTTGGAAGATAGATTTCTCTTTTGAGGGCATCACCCATCACTTCCAGTGTTGTTTTAGTGAATTCAGTGGTTTTTAACGCAAGGTGCAGTGTTCATCTCAAGAGTAAAACTCCTTGGCCCCCAGCGGAACTCCCTCTTTAGAAGTCAATTTGCCTTTGAAAGTGCAAATCCGCTTTACAGCTTTTTCTGTGAAACGAGAGGCTCTTTTGCTGGGAATTGGCAGTGAAACAGTTGTTTTGGAGAACTTAACCTGTACCTGTGAGAAGCAACAGAGGTGGTTTCTGAAATGCTCATGTGCTGCTGCGCTTGAGCGTTGCCTTCACCGGGCTCCCTTGGGCTGCGTCATCCATTCGGTTTGGTGGGTTTTCTGGTTTTTACCCAGTCTTACACCTGATTGCTGTGAAGCCGTTTACACATCATGGTTCATTTATCAAGAACGTCCCGTTTGCTGTAGCAAACAGCAATAATTCAGCTTTTTGATCCCAGCAAAATGAGAGCTCAGGGAGGAAGGGCCGGTGGCTGGGTGTTTGCACATGTCCAGATACACCTCGATGCCAAGGAGGGGCCGATCCCGAAATATCAACATCGAGTCTCCCTTTGCAGTGTGTGGGGGTGAAACTGGGTTCTTAACCTAGTTCA